CAATGCTAAAAAACCAAACTGTTAGACGTCTGATGCAGAGAAAATAAACAAGCCCATGTGACGACCACATCATGAGATCTTTGTGTCCTTCAGATGAGGAATGTAGAACTTCCTCACTCTGAATGCAGTTTCCTGTGAATGAGCACTTCAGAGGTCAGACTAACTGTTGAGCTGATCCAATAAATTCTCTGTGCACGCTGAAGTACAGTTGCAAGGCATTCCTTTCTTCACCTCCGGTCTTCCTAAAGCACACCTCCCTCAGGAGCTGTTCTCACCGGTTTGCGCGGGTTTTATTAGGGTTGATTTCAGTCACGTTTTCCAGCTGAAAATGAGACAGTAATGCTTCCCAAGAGCATCGTCCCAAAGATAAGAGAAACAAAGGAAATGAGCCAATTCATCATCTGGAAAGTATTTTGTTGGGTTTTTTGGGACATAAATGTGAGATTAAAACATAAACAAATTTAAACCGTCCCTTAGAAATGTTTTTTATTTGTTCTAGTGACTGTTGATTCTTAGTCACCCCCTACCAAAGTCTAACTCCACTCCCATTTGCTGTTTGAAAAATGCGCCACAAGGAGGCGTTGCCAGGCAGAACGAGAGGGCGGAGTCGCTAACAAACACACACACACACACACACACACACACACACACACACACACACACACACACACACACACACACACACACACACACACAAACACACACACACAAACACACACACAGCTAACATCATAGGGTACCTCTTATGCTTGGTTTATGCTTGACGCGTCCGCGAGGTTCGCACGGCTCCGCGCGGCAAAATTGCGTCATTTTAACAACCACGCCTCTCCACCGCGCCTCCGCACGGCCCAAACTTTCCGCACCGCGCACCTAGGAAATTTTCTAACCATGCGGACGGTCGGACGCGGAAAAACATGGCGGACTGGCAAGAACTAGTATGGCAGAGGTTCGTAAATACAGACATTTATATGATTCAGCTCTCAAAGATCACCGTGATCAACATGTTGTTAATAATTCTTGGAGAGAAACAGCTCCCACTGTCGGAAAAGACGAGGACGCTGTTAAAAAATGCTGGAATGCCATGTTGTAAACAACAGTAATTTTTACTTCTACTATGGTGTAGTGTTGGATGCATGCCGTAGAGCTCCATGCTGCCCCTACAGTTTGGGAGAATATTGGCTCACCGCAGAGACAAGCCGCATGAACCATAAACGCTGCAAGCTGTGAAGCGCGTTCCATCCGCGAGTCGCATCACCAAGCGGAAAGTAAATGCGTCAAGCATAAACCAAGTTTTAACCAATAGTGATGACAGGTTTAAATTCTAATGCAGTGCAGAATTTTTACCTGAAGAGGGCGCAACACTGACAGTTTTAGGCAGAATTTGTAAATTTTAACTAAGATGCACTAAAGTGTCAAATTATTGACTACACATGTCTACAGCACGTTTAGACACTCATTTTATCAGCAAAAAAAAAAGTTGATTTGGGGGTGACTTGCTCTTTAATGTTCAGGACACCAAGCTGAAAGATTTCTCTGCATTACTTGTACTCAAACACACAAAAAATAAATTCGTAGGCAGGGCTGCCACATTGGATTTTGAGATCAAAGGAAGTTGGAATTCTGTTGATTGTTCATGACTTAGAACTTCTTGGTTCTGAAATATTAAGAAGCAAAAAATGAACTTGGATTGTTTTGAAATTATATATTGTAACGTACAAAGAGTAAACTTAAATAAAACCTAAGTTGAGCTTTAAAACAAGATCAGACTTAATCAGATATGAGTTACTAACTTTTAGTACCTCATCTCTACTATTATACTTAGAATTTACATAAAATGTTACTGTGCCATCTTTATTTCTAGTATGTTTGATTTTTCTATACGCCTGAGGCAAATCATTACAGAAAACAAGATCGGACAGTCTGGAAGTTAAAAAAGAAAACTTTCAGGAATAAAAACAGTAATAATTTTAGGGTGAATACATCTGAATCAAAGCAAACTTTAGTCATGCAGAACCTTTATTAATCACTCTAAGCTTGTTATCTCAAGATGTTTAGTCTGTGCCTGATTTTAAATCAGATTTCTTTGTTTTCTTTGGTCCTTAATTTTTCATTTTAATAAGTCTCCCACACTCCACACACCCCCTCCACTGTGACCTTTAAAACAGAAGTTATTTCATAACTTTGACTAATCTCAGAATTTATTTATTTAAATGAAAATGACCCTTCTTTGATCCTAAATCTAAACTTTCACTGACTGCTGGTGACTAGCTGGAGAAATCCCACCGAACTGGAACGAACGATGCTTTTGCAACATGTTTTACAAGCGGCTCAGTCATGTGGGGCGTGTGATGAAATGCCAAACAAATTGGGCCACACGTACAAATATCCTGGTTCTGATTTAATCACAAAGTTTCCTCATTATCCATCCAGTTGTTGGCGAATTTCCTCCACTTTCCACAAGATTTAATCACCAGCCCCTCCCAATAAATGGCTCACATTTCTCACACTTTCTAGAATCAGACGCTGAGTTGAGTGTTAAACTATTTGGAGACACAATTTTGTCTGCATGCTTTGTCACTTACTTCCAGTTATTCATTCATTCATACAAGAGAGAGGCTTCGCAACTCAGAACCCTTGCAAATGTTTTGAGAAGTGTAGGAAACTCCTTCACAATAAAAGTTCAAAAAGGGTCAAAAATGTCACCCCAATGAGATTCTGACTTCAACAAGGATGTTGGCCTATGTTTTCTATGTCAGATAATATGTTTATGTTTATTTATTTGGCAGACGCTTTTATCCAAAGCGACGTACAATTGTGAATCTATAGGGCATGTTGTGATCTGTGGGGGAAGCCGGAGAACCCGGAGGAAACCCACGCATGCATGGGGAGAACATGAAATTCCACAGAGAAAGGCCGCAGCCAAGTTTTGAACCTGCAACCTTCTTGCTGTGCTAACAACTGCTCCACCATGCATTCGTTTTCATCCACTGCTGATTTGGTCTGTTCTTGTTAAAAGTTTGGAAACTACAAATATTTCTGCTAAGCCCTAATTATCAAACTTCCGAGAGGTAAATAAAAGTTAAATGAACACACTGCTTTTACTTATTAGACACAGCAACACTTTGAACTGATCCTGACGCCGAATCGCTGAAGGTTAGCCGAAAGCATAATTTATTTATTTAAACTTTATTTAACCAGATGAGTCGATTGATAACTAATTCTCATTTACAACAACGATCTGCCCGAGAGGCAGTAGCAACAGAGACATGGGTAGCTTTACACCAAAGAATATCGGACAGATAAGATAAAAATACACAAGATAAAATAAAGATAAAACAGTTAGACATAAAAGACAAAAAACTGTTCTTCTATACAATACTGTATATGCAAGCAATCACAGCACATTTAAAACAACATTTAAGTACTCAGAAGCAGGCACGCTGATCAGAAACTATTGATCGTAATGAATTATTATGAAGGTAGACAACTGGACTTGGGTAGTGAGCTTTAGTGATTTTTGCAGTTCATTCCGGTCGTTGGAAGCAGCAAACTGAACGAAGAGCCTCCAAAGGAGGTGCGAGCTTTGGGAATAATCATAGTAATTAAGTTTCTGGAACATAAATTGTGACGATTGTTGGAAGTGATGAGTAATGAGAGAAGATATGATGGTGTTCTACCGATGACTGTTTTGTTTATAAATGGATACCAATGTAACAACCTGCAGGAATGGAGTGATGGCCAGTTAACGAGTGAGTGCAGATCACGATGATGAGTAGCGAAGGGGCACCAGTGATGAAATGGATTGTTGAGTGATAAATTACATCGGGTTTATGAGGAAGTTTTTTTGGAAGCAGTTTAATAAATGATGTCACCGTAATCTAAGATGGCAAGGATTGTCATTTTGACCAAGGTTTGCTGTTGTGGAATAGAAACCCAATTCTTGACTTGACTTTAGAAGAAACGTTTTAAGATGAAAATCAATTCAAAGTGAACCGTCAAGCCAGAAACCCAAATACTTATAGGAACAGAGACGTTTTAGTTCTGTGCCGTCAAAGGGAAATACTAGGATTGCAAGTGTATGGAAGCATATATGTAACAGAAATCTAATTGTTATGTAGTTGCAGAAATTATTTTTCATTTTCATATGAAAACTGCCAAATTCGAATCATAATCCAAACTGCAGTTGTGTAGTGAAAATGAAAATGCATTTCTGTTAATGCATTTTCAAATTTGACATATCAAACAGAATTTTGTTACATTTTTGCTGGAGTGTTATTTGAAAATTAAATTTTAGATGTTTTTTTCTTTATACTTTTCATTAAGTCACAGAATGAGCAATGATGAAGAAGTAAATTCAAAAACAGTTTAAAAGATTGTTTATTTTTTTATTTACGATTCAAATTTGGCAGTTCTAATATGAAAATGAAAAATTATTTCTGCCGGGCTGCGCAGGGTGCAGTGGTTAGAGCTATTGCCTTGAAGCTAGAAGGTCCTGGGTTTGCTTCCCAGCCTGGGATGTTTTAGCATGGAGTTTGCGTGGGTTCTCTCCGGGTACTCCGGCTTCCTCCCACAGTCCAAAAACATGACTGTTAGGTTAACTGGTCTGTATAAATTGTCCCTAGGTGTGAGTGTGTGTGTGCAAGGTTGTCTGTCCTGTGTGTCTCTGTGTTGCCCTGTGATGGACTGGCTTTCTGTCCAGGGTGTACCCCGCCTGATTGCCCATTGACCGCTGGAGATAGGCACCAGCCCCCCGCGACCCTACATGGACAAGCGGGTTCAGACAATGGATGGATGGATGGAATTTCTGCTACTGCATAATAATTTGATTTCTGTTACACATCTGCTTCCATACAGTGGATTGCAGCAAGTTACGGTTTATTAATGATGATGGCTTTGATTGGGTCTCCTTTCTGATAACAAAGTGGTAAAGCTACGTAATACAGATTTCTAGAAGAAAAACAAACCAAATTTTGTGTAGATGTTTTGAGTTTGACACTTACCCTGGCACCCTTCTCTGGGAAGCATTGACAGCCTCCGCTGCAGTCTCTTCCTCCACACGGGCCACTGTGCTTCTTCCCACCCTGTCAGACACAAATAAGACATGAAGGTCAAAAGTGAACTTTAAGAGTGCATTTTTCACAGCAATGCAACATGATGCTCTTCACCATTTCTGCCTGAAAGCCAACAGTGATACATCTAATGTAGTCAATGGGATGCTGTGAGGGTAACAGCTGTGTTTGTGTGCTCTGTGGGTTTTCAGTGCACTTCTTGTTTATCCCAGCAGCTCTGTTGCATCAGAGCAGATGATTGTCACACTGCTATCTGTCTGCACAGTCCTTATGCTTGGGGTTTAAATGTGGCTCAAATGAGTCATGACGAACATTTAGATTTTTTAAGACAGTTGTATAAAAGAGGCTAAAGATGGGAACAATTCTTCCTCAGATGTCTGCATTCCAGCTGAACCACCCACCATCACAGGCTGATCTGTGTTAGACATCACACAAACGCACACACAGACACAAAACATCCCAGGGGTCAGAGTGGACGAGGCATGATCAAAGAGATCAGTCACTGCATCCTAAAGGTCAGAGGAGCGGAGACCCTGAGCTAGCTGATAGCTGGAGACACCGAGACAGGCTGGAGTCCTGGAATTTCAAAATAAAATCACACACATCCCAAAAACCTGATTTCCTGAACAATCTTAGTTTAAATAAATAAGTTTAATAACATAAATGAGAGCAGCTAAGACTAAAATGTATTGCTGCCATCTTAAAACGGCTCCAATCTTAAACATTTCATAGAGGTTTATGCAACACTATTTTATAAACTACACTGGGGTTACAGTCGAATTACAGTTATTTAAAGGGAATTATTCATGTATTTACCAGCACAAATATCACCACCAGCATAATGGAGGACTTCTAGTGCATTCAGGGGTCAAACCTGGAGGGATTTCTGATGAAACGTCCATCCATCCATTATCATCCGCTTATGCGGAGTCGGGTCGCGGGGCAGTAGCCTAAGGCAAGAGAACCAGACTTCTCTCTCCCCAGCCACTTGGGCCAGCTCCTCCGGGGGAATACCAAGGCGTTCCCTGGCCAGGTGAGAGACATAGTCCCACCACTGTGTCCTGGGTCCACCTTTAGGTCTCCTCCCTGTTGGACGTGCCCGGAAAACCTCACCAGGGAGGTGTCTAGGAGGCATCCTGACCAGATGCCTGAGCCACCTCAACTGGCTCCTCTCGATGTGGAGGAGCAGCGGGTCTACTCCGAGCCCCTCCCGGATGACCGAGCTTCTCGCCCTGTCTCTAAGGGAGAGCCCAGCCACTCTTCGGAGAAAACTCATTTCGGCCACTTCTATCCACGATCTTGTTCTTTCGGTCACTACCCAAAGCTCATGACCATAGGTGAGGGTAGGAACGTAGATCGACCAGTAAATCGAGAGCTTCGCCTTCCGACTCAGCTCTCTCTTCACCATGACAGACCGGTACATCGCCCGCATCACTGCAGATGGGGCACCAATTCGCCTATCGATCTCACGCTCCAGTTTTCCCTCACTCGTGAACAAGACCCCGAGATACTTAAACTCCTCCACTAGGGGCAGGACCTCATCCCTGACCCGGAGAAGGCATTCTACCCTTTTCTGAATCAAGACCCTGGTCTCAGATTTAGAGGAGCTGATTCTCATCCCAACTGCTTCCCACTCGGCTGCGAACCGCTCCAGTGAAAGCTGAATATCACGTTCTGATGAAGCCAACAGGACCACATCATCTGCAAAAACCAGAGACCTGATCCTCAGGCCACCAAAACGGATGCCCTCCACACCTTGGCTGCGCCTAGAAATCCTGTCCACAAAGGTTATGAACAGAATCGGTGACAAAGGGCAGCCTTGGCGGAGTCCAACTCTCACTGGGAACGAGCCCGACTTACTGCCGGCAATGCAGACCAAGCTATGACACCGGTCATACAGGGACCTAACAGCCAGTATCAGAGGGCCTGGTACCCCATACTCCCGGAGTACCCCCCACAGGGCCCCCCGAGGGACACGGTCAAACGCCTTCTCCAAATCCACAAAACACATGTAGACTGGTTGGGCCAATTCCCACGCACCCTCCATGATCCTCCTAAGGGTATAGAGCTGGTCCAGTGTTCCACGGCCAGGACGAAAACCACATTGCTCCTCCTGAATATGAGGTTCAACAATCCGACTAACCCTCCTCTCCAGAACCCCTGAATAGACCTTACCAGGAAGGCTCAGGAGTGTGATCCCCCTGTAGTTGGAACACACCCTGCGACCCCCTTTTTAAATAAGAGTTTCACCACCCCGGTCTGCTGCCCTCGATGTCCACGCGATATTGCAGAGCCATGTCAGCCAACACAGCTCCACAACATCCAGAGCCTTAAGGAACTCCGGGCGGTTCTCATCCACCCCTGGAGCCTTGCCACAGAGGAGCTTTTTAACCACCTCAGTGACCTCAGCACCAGAGATTTGAGAGGCCAACCCAAAGTCCCCAGACTCTGCTTCCTCACTGGAAGACGTGTCGGTGGGATTGAGGAGGTCTTCGAAGTATTCTGCCCACCGATCCACAATGTCCTGAGTAGAGGTCAGCAGCACACAGTCCCCACTATAGATAGTGTTGGTAGCGCACTGCCCCCCCACCCCGAGGCGCCGGATGGTGGACCAGTATCTCCTCGAAGCCATACGGATGTCTTGCTCCATGGTCTCACCAAACTCCTCCCATGCCCGGGTTTTTACCTTGGCGACCACCCGAGCCACGTTCCGCTTGGACTGCCGGTACCCGTCAGCTGCCTCTGGAGTCCCACAGGCCAGAAAGACCTGATAGGACTCTTTCTTCAGCGTGTCAGCATCCCTAACCGCGGGTTCGGGGGTTGCCGCCATGACAGGCACCAACGTTCCTGCAACCACAGCTCCGGTCGGCCGCCTCAACAATGGAGGCACGGAACAGGATCCATTCAGACTCAATGCCCCCCACCTTCCCCGGAACATTTTGGAAGTTCTGTCGGAGGTGGGAATTGAAGCTCCTTCTGACAGGAGACTCTGCCAGACGTTCCCAGCAGACCCTATTCACTGAATACCTGCTGAAACAATAAAACTAATGACCTAGATGGATTTTATCATTTTAAAGCTGGTATGAGGCATGGCTTTCAGTGCCTTACAGAAGGGGAGGGGGAGCTGTAGCAAATTTCACATTTCTAAATTTCCCCATCCTAGTTTTGATGACGTCATGCTGCAGATCGCAGCTTTAAATCCACACATGAAATGGATAAACTGTGAGTTCACTACTTTATGCTTATGGAATGAGGCATTGAAGCTGTTCTTCTCAGTAAGTTGGTTTATCTAAATAATAAAGTCCCACGTCCTCCACCTACACATCCATACCACAGCAAATGCCTAAATCCCTTCTTCTCTCCCATGCCACAGATCTAAATGACCACTTCATGCCCACATTGGCAACAAAGTGGCAGATAAAGAATCAGAATAATTCTCCCTCCTCACATTGGCAGCAGATCCCTGCAGTCCCACTTACAAAGAGCACATTGAAGCCCTCATCACACACAAAAACCTCTTTTCACTGAGCAGTCGTCATCCTTAATGATCCCCTATCTCCAACATAAAGACCCCCTTCCTCTCCCGTAAGGAATGCACAAGGCGGCATTTAGCTTTTTCTGTTTGTTCACTATCTTCTGATGGCTTCCTTTCATCATGGCGTTAGATATAGCTTGCTGTGATGGGTTTAAATTAGCCATGAGGGCAGACTCAGTCTCCACATATGGGATTTAAATGTTTTCTCATAACTGGAGGGAAAATTGAAACAAAAAGGGTGGAACACAGTCACGTCATGACCTTTCTCCTCACCGGGATGGAAATCCAAACCAGACAATGGACTGCGTCATTCCCGGACAGACACACAAAGGAATAGCTCCCTTAAAACTAATTACACCGCGCGGAAAAATGCACCATCAATTCAGCTTTTACAGTTTATGAGCTGAAAATAGATGCCGACAATTTCAGTGGAGGACAATGGGACCATGCTTCAGTATCCTGTTTTCTACACCTAAAGTCACAATAGACCGTTGTTCAGTGAAATCACCTTTTCCGTACTTTCGGAATGTTGTGAACACGAGCGAAGTTTAGCGAGGGATATTTCATTTACAGTCATCAATTCTGAGAGTTATCAATGTATTTTTTAGACTTTCAAAATGCTACGAGCACGAGAACGCTTTTGTAGCTGCTAGATCTGGTCTGGTGGGTTTTCGTTTGAACCGGTTTTATTTTCTGAAGCAGGTTTTTAACAGGGCTCCAGTTGCCAAGCTGAGTACCATAATGTTTTTTGCTTGAGTTCACGTATACATTTGGTTGTTTTGTTACCAAACATCAAACATTTGATGGATTTTAAATAAACTTTCCTTAATGGGGACAGCTGTAGCTCAAGAGGTGGAGCGGGTTGTACAGTAATCGGAAGGATGCAGGTTCGATTCCGGTTCTGGACAGAGAATTCTGCTGTTGTGCCCTTGGGCAAGACACTCAACCCACCTTGCCCACTGGGGGTGGTCGGAGGGACTGGTGGCGCCAGTGCTCGGCAGCCTCGTCTCTGTCAGTGCGCCCCAGGGCAGCTGTGGCTATATCGTAGCTCATCCCCATCAGTGTGTGAATGGATGAATGATACACTGTAGTGTGAAGCGCTTTGGACACCTCTGATTCCGAAAGGCGCTATACAAGTGAGGGTCATTTGTCATTTATCAATTAATCCTAGGATGTACATGAATTTGCAGTGGTGTTATTGGAGGAGTTGTTTGTTACTCTATGAAAACTCTTGGGCTACATCATGAGTCCAAATTCATCCATATTCATGGATCAAGGCTGTGAAACACAAGCGGGCAGTTTTCAGTCAGTAAGTGCAACATTTTACAGTTTTTATCTCTAATTACCTTTAATGTGTACAATTTTCTAATGACACAATTGGTTTTTATCCGATTGTATTTATATCTGCAGGCTGAGAGCTGCCAGCAAAATGTCATTGTGCGTTCGCATAATGACAATAAGGACTTCTTATTCTCAG